GTGGCTGGCGCCTTAGCCGATTGAGCTATAGGCGCCCAGCCAATATTTCAGCTTTAAAAGTATAATTATTATAACCTCTTTAAGTACCAGCCATATACAATAACTTATTACTTTTCTTAGACTTCTGTGTTTTAGGGCTACTGAAGTATTAATATATCCAGAATCCATGATTCCACATAGATTTAAAAGATCAGAAAATGCGTTGTCTTTCCAAGCCACTTCCAATCATTGCCAACAGACATATAGTAAAATCAGATTGTTTTTGCACAAAATTTCCCTGTAGCAACCAAATAGTCATACCAATGTCAATTCCCTCATTTAGTATTAGTTATTTGAGCTAGGGAAGTTGGATGAAGAGTACCTGAAATGTCTCTTATTTTTCCAGCTTTTTGTGAGATTATAATTATTTCAAAATTTAAAGTTTTTTTGTTTTTTTTTTTTTGAGACAGTGTCACTTTGTTACCCTCGGTAGAGTGCCAGGGCATCAGAGCTCACAGGAATCTCAAACTCTTAGCCTCAAGTGACTCTCTTGTCTCAGCCTCCCAAGTAGCTGGGACTACAGGCACCCACTACAATGCCTGGCTATCTTTAGAGATGAGGTCTTACTCTGGCTCAGGCCAGTCTCAAACCTGTGAGCTCAGGCGATCTACCCACCTGAGCCTCCCAGAGCACTAGGATTATAGGTTGAGCCACTGCACCCGGCCTCAAAATTAAAAGTTAAAAAAAAAAATTAATACAAAGATGTTACTTATTGTATTTTTTTGAAACAGGGTCTCACTATGTTACCCAGGCTGGTTTCGAACTCCTGGGTTCAAGTAATCCTTCTGCCTCAGCCTACAAAGTAGATGGGACTATAGGCCCATGTCACCAAACCCCACTAATTTTTAATGTTTTTTTTATGGAGACCAGGGTCTTCCCACAGTACCTGGGAAACATTTTACTTACAAAAGCTAAAGACAGGGTGGCACCCATCTGGTGAGTTCGAACCCAGCCTGGCCAGCCAAACAACAACTGCAACAAAAAAAATAGTGGGGCATGGGCAGTGCCTGTGGCTCAGTGAGTAGGGCACCTGTAGTCTCAGCTACTCGGTAGGCTGAGGCAAGAGAATCGCCTAAGCCTACAAGCTGGAAGGTGCTGTGAGCTGTGACACCATGGCACTTGGAGTGCCTCTGTCCCTTTAAAAAAAAAAAAATAGTGGGGCATTGTGGAGGGTGCCTGCAATCCCTATTTGGGAGGCTGAGGCAGGCGGTTTATCACTTAAATCCAATAGTTTGAGGCTCCTGTGAACTATGACGTCATGGCACTCTTCAGAGGGCGACATAGTGAGACTCTGTCTCAAAATAGAAAAACAAGGCTCTGCACCTGTGGCTCAAGCAGCTAAGGCGCCAGCCACATACACCTGTAGTCCCAGCTACTTGGGAGGCAGAGGCAGGATAATTACTTGAGCCCAGGAGTTGGAGGTTGTTGTGAGCTATGATGCCACAGCTCTCTACCCAGGGCAACAGCTTGAGGCTCTGTCTCAAAAAGAAAGAAAGAAACATTTCAGATCAAATTTTAAAATATAATATATGAAAGGTTGTAGGAGAGTTTGGGAGTCACCTGACCTATGTCACAGGGACTGTGAGGCCCAATGGGAAAAAATAAAAGGTTTATGTAAAACGCTCATTACTAGCTCTGGCCATGATAAACATTACAAGGTCACTCTGCTCTCCCTAACTCCTAAACCAAGAAAGCTCTGAATTAACTCCAGCAAACAAGGAACAAAGAGAAATAAAAAAGGCTTCCTAAACTCATAAAAACCTAATAAAAGAATTCTTCCGAATATCTTAGTGATTCTGCATGTGGGGCTCACTTACAACGATTGCACAATCCCAGGCAAACAGTCTCCCAGAGATGGGAGCTGTGAACTCATCTTGGGACCTCCGATTGCACCTGCAAGTCGGCCCGGCTCAGGGCGAGCCTGTCCTTCTTCTCCTTTTGCAAAACCTGCTCCTCCCACAGAGCCTGATCCACCTGATCATCAGTGAGCACTACAGGTTTGTACTTCTCATCGAAGAGCCGCTCATTGGTCTCCGAGCGCAGCTGGTGGGGCCCGACGACGCGTAAGTGTGCTGGCAGGTGGAGGAACTCCTCATCGTTGATGTCGCAGTCACGCATCCGGGCCTCCAGCACCCACCAGCGACCCACAAAGCCCACGTCCAAGATTCGGCCCGGGAAGTCGGTCCAGCGGGGCTGTAGGTAGCGGCAACGGGCCTGATAGAGACTGGCCTGCGCGTCAAAGGGTGCCTCGTACACTAGCGAGCAGAGCCCCAGGTTCACGTGCCGAAGGCAGCCACGGCCCCTCAGCCAAAGCAGCCGCTGCACGTAGGCTTCCGAGTTGCGGTTTCGCGTGGCCGGCGCCAGCAGCAGAAGAGCCCCGGACGCGTCGAGCAACGCCTCCTCAAAGGCAGTATCGCTCGGCGCCAGCGCGCAGCAGACCGCACCCCCGCCTAGCAGCCCCACATACACAGCCGCGCGTCCTGGCCGGGCTCGAGCCGCCGCCGCCGCGTCCCCACAGGCTTCGGCGTAGTCCCGGAGCAGCGCGCGGGCCCAGGCACCTGAAGGGAGAGAAGCGCAGTGACAGCGGCCCGACCTCTCCGGCCACCCAACCGTCCTCCTTCCGCCACTACTCACCCAACCGAGCCCAGATGCCCGGCTTTGCTACCGCCGCCTCTACACGGCCTCGGAACCAAAATCTCTTCAGAGCAGCCGCCGCCATCCTCTTTCGGCTTGGAGTCCTTTCTCCGAGAAGAAACTCTTGCTACACCAAGTAAAAGGCCTGGAAACCTTTTTCGCGCGAGGTAACGTTGCCGGAAGTGGCTTCCCATCGGAAGACAATAGGAAACGAACCAGTGCCGGATGTTGCTGTCCTGCTGGAGAGGTTGCCTCTGTGCGGTAGGCGGGCCGCGCAGGCGCAGAGAGTCCCAGCCACGCTGGCTAAAAAGTACCCAGGTGAGGTGACCAGAGTGCCTCTCTGTGGCTGGGGCGGCGGGTGTAGGCTTCTTTGAGCGCAGTTAGCTACCATATAGGGCTCAAGGTAAAAGGACAGACGCCGGAAAGGGTGCTGACTAATCGGCCTCCGTCCTCAGCGATGCGGTGACGCCCCAAGCCACCATGGCGGCGGCCCACGAGCTGACTTTCCACGGTAAGTGCGGCCCCGACGTGGCTGGAACTCCCCCTCACCAGAACCTCCCATGCAGTTTCCAACTCCACTAACCTGCACCCCAGTGATCCATGAACCTAGGAGTGACATCTATCCCTAACTCAAACCCGCTCCCGCTCTGAACTCAGACTCTGATCAGATCTGAGCCTCGAGTCCCCAGACCTTGACTCCATCCCAGGACCAATTCTAAATTGCAGTCCCATGTTAGGGGAAGAGAACAGACCTCATGTCCCCAAACTGAGGAAGTTGGGCCCTGCGTAGTGTAGAGCACTTAAATTGTTACAGCATCCCACACAGCAGGAGCAGTGGGCCAAGCCAAATTGTTTCCACCTGCAAAACATGCTTAAGTCCCATATTCCCACTCTATAGAATTTGAGGAAGCCAGTGATCTTCTGGTTGAGACCCCAGATGCAGCCACCCTAAGCAGAAGTGATCAGCTGACCCCACAAGGACACGTGACTGTGGCTGTGGGTTCAGGTGGCAGCTATGGAGCTGAGGAGGTGGTAGAGGAGGAGAGTGACAAGGCAGCGGTGAGTCGCTTAAATCCCCATGCCCTGCCTCTGTCCAGCCCTGGCTAACTTAGGCTATCAGGGCAGGTACTGAAGGCCTGTGCCATGCAGCTCCTACAGGAGAAGCAGAAGCAGCAGCCTGGATTCTGGACCTTTGGCTACTATCAGAGCTTCTTTGATGTGGACACCTCACAGGTCAGTCCTGGAAGTTGGAAGGATAGGGCTCAGAGTCATGCAATGGGGTTCAGCCGTGATTCAGCGGGGCATTGTTAGGTGGGTTAAAAGAGCTCTCACCAAGTGGATAGAAAAGACTGTGGTGCTCTCTAAGGGCTATGGTGGATCCAGGGCTGTGGGAAAATGGGGAATAAACAGGATCTGGTGAGTCAAGGAATGCCCTCTTGGAGGTGCTTAAGAATTTGCCAAGACCTAGAGGAGAAGGAAGGAAAGCCATAGAGGTGAGGGTATACCCCCCACAAGGTGAGTTGGAGGCCAAGTGTCATACTGCCCCAAAGTCATGTCTAGGCAGAGTGGGGGGAGCAGAATTATGCATCAGGCACAGGGAATAACATACGCAGAAGACCAAATGTGAGAGGAGACATGTGAAGTGTGACAGAAGCTGCCTGGCGCTGGATTTGTCTGAGACAGGCAGGCAGAAGCCAGATCACAAAGGGCCTTGTGAGCTATATTAATAAGCTAAGGTTTGGGGCTCAATGCCTGTGGCTCAAGCGGCTAGGGTGCCAGCCACATACACCTGAGCTGGCAGGTTTGAATCCAGCTCAGACTCGCCAAACAACAATGATGGCTGCAGCCAAAAAATAGCTGAGCATTGTGGCGCCTGTAGTCCCAGCTACTTGGGAAGTGGAGGCAGGAGAATTGCTTGAGCCCAGAAGTTGGAGGTTGCTGTGAGCTGTGATGCCATGGCATGCTACCCAGGGCGACTGCTTGAGGCTCTGTCTCAAAAAGAAAAAAAAATAAGAAGCTAGGGTTTGGACTTGGTGCCTGTAGCACAGTGGTTATGGCACCAGCCATGTACACTGAGGGTGGCAGAATCAAACCCACCCCAGGCCAGCTAAACAACAATGACAACTACAACAAAAAGTAGCCAGATGTTGTGATGGGCACCTGTAGTCCCAGCTACTTGGGAGGCTGAGGTAAGAGAATCACTTAAGCTCAAGAGTTTAAGGTTGCTGTAAGCTGTGATGCGACGGCACTCTACTGAGGGCAACATACTGAGACTCTGTCTCAAAAAAAAAAAAAAAAGGCAGCTAGGGTTTGGGTTTTATCCTGAGGGTGACGAGGAGTCACAGAAGGGTTTGGAGCAGGAGAGGAAAGAGTAGAAGGAGCAGATGGGCATGCAGAATGTGGATGGGAGGCCCTACCTGAGGGAGATCATAACTAGGGGACATACTGGAGAGACGGAGGAAGGAGAATGCCCCATATTTGTTAACTGTGTTGGGCCTGGGAGGGGAGGCTGCAAGGAGGGCAGTCCAGGCAGCCAAGCAGAGGATGAGGAGGCAAGGAGGCCTGGAGGAGACCTTTTAGCATGGTGGGACCCCAGGGGAAGGGGTTCTAGTCATGGGACAGCTCATTGAGAGCTGAGAGGGAAGAGCTAAGTTTTCAGCAGGGCATGGAGAGAGGAGGCTGGAGAACAGCCGTGAAGGACCCTCGAGGACCAAGGATGATCCCTGAGTGGGCTTCTATTCTGGAGCTTGGCCTTGCCCCCCCACCCCCCAGGTCCTGGACCGGATCAAAGGTACACTGCTGCCCCGGCCTGGCCACAACTTTGTCTGGCACCATCTGCGGAATCAGCCGGATCTGTACGGTGAAGTTGTACATTTGGATTATTCACTTTACAAATGTCAGTTAAGTGCCAGGCCCCAGTACTCAGCTGAGAACACAGAGACCATGACACCTACCTTCTATTCAGGGAGAGGGACACAGACTGCAGAGGTTAGGTTAGAGAGCAGCAGGGTGATTCAAAGGATCCATGGCCTTGCTGTTTTGCATAGACGCTTCAGAACAGGCCTCCCTGAGAAGTGGCATGAGGCCCCAGGGTTGGAGGAGGTCACCCAGGAGTGAGCACACACATAGAGAGAGCCCAGCGCTCCCTGTGGAGAAAGAGGTTGGTGTAGAGGGGAAAGCCATAGAGGTGAGGGTCTACCTGCCACAAGGTGAGACCTAGGCCAAGAGCGTGCTGCCCCAAAGTCATGTTTGTGTTTCTAGGAGAGGATGATCAGTGGAGACCTGGTACTAGATTTGGCCTCTGGGATGTCTCCAATGACCTGGCAAGCTGGGTGGGTGGCTTGCAAAGAGGCTAGGGTCCTAGCATAGGTAAGACAGAACACATCCACCTGTCCTGGGAGTGCTGGACCTGGGAACCTGACTGCACCCGCTATTTCCCACCCTGGCAGGCCCCTTCTGGATCTGTGCCACTCTGGCCTTTGTCCTGGCCATCACCAGCAACCTGACACTAGCGCTGGCCCAGAGGAGGGACCCTTCTATCCACTATAGCCCCCAGTTCCACAAGGGTAAGTACATGGCAGGGCTGGGGGTGCTGGGGGCTCCTGGGGACAGGAGTGACTGCCTGGTTGCCTCCAGTGACTGTGGCCGGCATCACCATCTACTGCTATGCGTGGCTGGTGCCACTGGCGTTGTGGGGCTTTCTAAGGTGGCGCAAGGGCATCCAGGAGCATATGGGGACCTACACCTTCCTGGAGACCGTGTGTGTCTACGGCTACTCCCTCTTCGTCTTTATTCCCATGGTGGTGAGTATGGCCCAGCACGGAGTGGGTTGCAGGTGCTGTGGGGGCCACCCAGCATGGTCACTAGGTGCCCGTGTCCATCCTTCAGATGCTATGGCTCATTCCCGTGCCATGGTTGCAGTGGTTGTTCGGGGGCCTGGCACTGGCCCTGTCAGCCACCTGGCTGGTGTTCACCCTGTGGCCTATTGTCCGTGAGGACACCAGGCTGGTGGCTGCGGCACTGCTGTCTGCTGTAGTACTGCTCCACGCCCTGCTGGCCTTGGGCTGTAAGGTGTGTATCTAGGGAATCACAGATGGGCTGTGGGCTGGGGTGGGTGGGGTGGCCCTGCTGACCCTGTACGGCTTGTCCAGTTATACTTCTTCCAGTCACTGCCTCCAGAGTACTTGGTACCTCCATCCCAAGTCCCATCTCTGCCCCCAAATGTACCACTGCCACCTACCCTACCAAGGTCCATGGCCACCTCCTAGGAAGACCCAGGTCCCACAGGTAAGGAGCCATTTCCACCTATGTGAGGACACTGCCCTCCCCACCCCCAATGTGACAAGTCCTGTGGCCATTACTGGGAGTTTCTCTTTTCTAGGCAAAACCTAAGAGGACACATCTGCTTGTCAGCCCCACCTCAACCAAAAGTGAACACATCTGCTTGTCAGCCCCACCTCAACCAAAAGTGAAGGCTCCTTCAACATCTCAAGATCACTTGATTGCTTTCCAAACTTTTCTTACAAAGCAAACACATTTATTTTCTATGCAAAGGTGATTCAGAGAATTTATATAAAGGTGGGGAATGGGCAGGGAGCTTCCAGCTGGGACAAGGCTGGGAGGACTCCCACACCCCCACTGCCTGCTGGGCCCCCTACTCTCCCTGACATAACTCAACTCACTGGCCACAAGAGGGAGGGCCAGGGGCAGGTCTGGGTACTTACATGACAGGCTAGGGGCCTTGGCCTGAGCTCCAGCATCTGAGTTTGGGGGAGGAGAAGAAAACTGCCTGTGCTGAAACATAATGTTTCCTTGTCTGTTTATTTTTTTATTTTTTGAAGAGAAGGGTCCCTGTTAGGTCCCTTCTCAGTCTGGGGGAAGGGCCAAAATGCCATCATAGTAGTAGGGACTGGAGCTTCTATAAGTAAGGAAGAGAAATACACAGGCCTAATGTTAGCTACAAGGAAAAGGACGCCTTCCCAGACAGATCTTTGAGGTGTGTCTGTGTCTGCCCCAAGTGGCAATGGTGGCCTTTGTTCCAGGCCCAGCGCCTGAGGCCGCCTCTTCTCTTAATGTGGGGTCAGGGGACCTACAGGGGCTCAAGGACAGAACAGCAGCAAAAGGCAGAGGCCAAGGACGGAAGCCTTCCCAACAGCGGGGCAGGTTGTACATTCAAGTGTGAGGTGAACCCTTTGGTGGGGAGGGGGCCTCAGCAGGGCTACCCCTCACCACTGAGCCTCAGAGTCTGGGGAGAGGGGCTGCTGGCTCGGCCCGGCCGGCCTGGCTTCTCAGAGGGTCTGTAGATTGACACTGGTTCTTTTTGTAAAAAAATAAAATTAAAAAAAGCAGCATGTCACGCCTGTTGTGACCAAGGCCTGGTCGCTGAAGGGAAGGCCTCACCCGGCCAGGCCGACTTTCTCCTTTGGAGCTAGACCAGGGGCAGGTACTGAGGGACACACAGGGCAGCTGCTCCCCCCCACCCTCTGTCACCCTGGCACAGCTGGCAGGCCCTGACATGCCTGTTACAGCAGATGTCAAACCCAGGTCAGGGTGGAGAGGATGGGAAGGGGGGAATGAAGGCTCCCACAACGTGATCTTGTGTAAAACATGGCAGCTCAGGGCTGGGATGTGGGGTTGGGGCGGCGGCAACATGTAAAAAAGTGTCCAAGTTCCCATAGCAAAGAGGGCTGTGATCAGGTGTTCCGGCTCCTCCAGTACAAGGGGGTCAGCCACCCAGTGGGGCGGGGTAGACAGGGGCATCATTTGGTTTCCTGGTGCTGTCAGTCCATGAGGGGCAGGGCCCCTAGCTCCCATAGTGCATGGTGTTGGTCGGGATGGACATGGGTGAAGCCATGGAGATAGCGGGGCCGCCCATGGTGAATTGGCTGTTGACTGCATAGTGTGCGCTCGAGCCGCCGCCGCCGCTGCCCTGGGCGCCGGAGGACCCTGTGGGGTGGGCATTGGCACTGAGGGGCCAGCGCTGCCCCCGGCCCACCTGACCCCCAGCAGAGTCAGAGACAGAGAGAGAGAGAGAGAAATAGGGCAGGCGGGTGCCTGGACAGACAGACAGCGACACACTAGCTCAGGCCCCAGGGGACCCACCCCTGCTACCCGCTATTACCTTGGACAATCCCTGTGCTCATTATGGAGCCCATCCGGGAGTGGGTGTGATTGACAATCCCCGTGTTGGCTGCGCAGCGAGGGAAGAAGGAAGGAAGGGAGATGGCGTCACCGCCCCCAGCCACCCAGACCACTGGCATAGGCGGCAGAGCAAGGCAGAGGATCTGGGGGCCTCGGCAGAGAGCCCCAGGAAAAGTAAAAGGTGAAAGGACCAAGCACAGGCCAACATGGCTGTCCGTTGGCCCTTCCTAGCCACACAGCAGCCCTGGGCAAGCCCCCACCCCTGCTGCCCTGCTGGAGGGCCACTCACCTAAAGGAATCAGGTTGTTGTGGCCTACGCTGGAGCCACTGGCAATAACACTGCTCAGGTCATAGGCAGTCGGCATCCCTATATCAGATGAAGAGATGTTAGTACCCTGTGTGAGGGTACCAAAAGCACACCCTAGGGCAGAGGGGTAATCCTGTCACCAAAGGCTGCTAGTTGGACCCATCCCTGGTGTGAGCCAGGTGTCATGGTTGGGGCCCACTCACCAGCCACAGCCATTCCACTGCTGAGGTTATAGGTGCTGCCCGTGTTCCACATGTTCTCAGAGGGAGATGTGTAGTGGGAGCCGGGTGGGGGCGATGGTGTTGTGCCTGTATATCTGTGGCAGAGACAGATCCATGGGCAGGGCTGGTGGGGCTGGAGGTGGGAGCAGCACCCCCAAGCGGGCTGTGGGCCCCACCTACCTGAAGAAGGGGTTTTTTAGATCCAAGAGGTTACTTGATTTAGAGCCCGTTTGGTCTACCTGGGCCACAATACTGATGTCGTAGCTCTGTCTGCAGAGAGGGTGGGGAGGATGATGAGCTGGGGTTGGGGGAAATGGACTCCTGACCCCCCAGCACCAGGTAGCAGCTCGCACCTTTTGTTGGCAATAAGCAGACATGTCCCTGAGAGCGTGTCCCCGGCCTTGGCGAACAGTGGCGACTGAAACAAGCACCGGACCTGGTACCAGTGGGTCAGGGGCTCCGTGGGGGCCGTGGACAACCACACAGTCATTCTATCAAGCAAGGACAGGAGGCATGTTCTTGACTGGGTCAGTGACACCATTTGGACCACCCACCACCCTGTATACACCTTGAGTTCTCCCCAAGTACCTGCCCCTGTGACAAGTTACCCTGGGGCCCTGGAGCTGAGACAAGCTGGCTCCCAGGCAGTCCTGGGTATGTCTGTGTGCACACACGTGTACACAGGAATCTGTAGACATTGGGTGCCTACTCACCCTGACGCAATGTGCTAAGAGACAGACAAGATCCCACAAGGGACGGTCACTCAGAACACAGTGGACACACACCCATGCTCCACTCACATCAGTCATTTGCTCTAAGACAAGCTCTTGACCCCTTTTGGAAGGAACAACGTTGCTGGGAAAAGTCACGTCCCACCCTTTAACCTCCAGCCTAGCCCACGTCACAGCAGCAGGAAGCCCCTGGGAATAGCATGGCCTGCTCTGCTACACTTACATGGAGCCGATGAAAGCAACGTCAAACCAGAAGGCCAGGCCGTGGACCAGCCCTGAATGCAGCATGTGGAATTTGAATGGGATTTCTATCCTGGAAGGCAAAGAGCACTGGCTGCTGGGAAAGAAGAGGGGTGCCCCGTGCAGAGGCCTGGGGCCTTGCTCTCCTGCCCTAGTATGGCAGGATGCCAGTGGGAGCCAGCAGTGGCCTTGACCTTCAGCTCAAGCTGCGCCCAGGAGAATGGGGCTTAGGTGCCAGTACCTGTGCAAATCTCCTTCTTTGGCTTCTAAGAAGTTCACTGTATACTTCACAGACTTGGCCATCAGGATCCGGATGTCAAATGTGTCCTGGGAGAGACCACAGGTGTGACCTGGATTCTGGCACAGAGGCCAGCATGAAAACGAGAGTCCTATCCCTTCCCCAGGGTCTGGGTCTGGCTATTGGGCTAAAATCACCTTGCCCTTCTCAGACCTGGCACAGGGGGAAGGTGACCTGTGGTAAGGCAATCAGGTGACAGCTCATTCATCCTCATCAGAGACTTGGCAGTTGCAATTTTGGGATATGGCTAGATACTCTTGCACATGTACACCTCATATGTAAACTTTCTGACTGTTTGCAGTAGTCATACACTGGAAACCATCCAGTTAAACTAATGATAGCTCAATCATAAAAGACTGTACATGAGAAAGAATGAAGAGGCCCTTTATGAACTGATGGGGAGAAATAAAGATATACCACTAAGGGAGCTAACAAAATTAAAGAAGTGGGTGTGAGCCATGCACAGTGACACATGATTATCATCTCAGCTATGAGAGGCTAAGGGAGGAGGATCCTTTGAGGGCAAGAGTTTGAATCCAACTTGGGCGACCTCATCTATCTCTCTTTTTCTTTCGTTAAGAAATGGAGTACTGGCTCGGCGCCTATAGCTCAACCGGCTAAGGCGCCAGCCACGTACACCTAAGATGGCGGGTTCAAATCCCCAGCCCGGACCCGCCAAACAACAATGACAGCTGCAACGAAAAAATAGCTGGGCGTTGTGGCGGGCACCTGTGGTCCCAGCTACTTGGGAGGCGAAGGCAGGAGACTCGCTTGAGCCCAGGAGTTGGAGGTTGCTGTGAGCTGTAATGCCACGGCACTCT